CTCATTTTTATCATTAGAATTGTTTTTAAGACAGTTTTTTTTGAGATGCCCAAATACAATAGTAAATACCGTAGAAAAAATAAAAACGAATATTTTCCCGAATGAATGGGAAGTCGGAGTATATGCAAAGGTGATGCATAAATATTCTTATTGGCAGCTTGACAGTTTGATAGTCAGTTCTTAATGATACTGAATATTATTTTGCACTTGATATTATTTTTAGATATTTAAGTAATCAAAACCAACCTTAACTCATTTTTGATTTTGCAAACAAGATCTGTTCCCCACTTAGGATGGCCCTCTATAATAGAATTTATATATATATTATGTGTTGTACAAAGTTTTTCATCTTTTTCATAGGTTCTGCAGGCTCAGAAAATACTTTTTACAATAGACTTAACTTTTCCAAAACAGAATCTCGTGCTGTTCACTACGCTGCAAGTCGTGGCCATATACATATCTTAGAGGTACTCCTTGAACATGGTGCTGACTTGAATGCCTTGGATGCAAACAAAGGAAATCCTGTACACAGTGCTGCTGGAGGGGGTAGACTTGCCACTGTTGTGTGGTTAGTGGAAAAAAAAGTACAACATGATCTGAAGGACAAGAACTCAAGGACACCTGAAGATATGGGACAGCTATATGGTTATCATCATGTAGCATATTGGTTACTCAAGCAGAATGCCAGTGAAGATACCAGAGAACATACACAAGTGGTATTTTGAATGTGCTTATTTTTTTAAATTGTTATAATAATTTTATACATAAAGTTTATATATGATAATCTTTAACCTGAAATCTGGCTTACGGCCCTAGCTGTATTCTAGATTAACAGGGAAGTACCATTTAATTGTATGGAGTTTTTTTTACCAAATTACTCATTATATGTAGGGCCAGGGTTTTCAGTTACACAGGTATTGGGGTGAAGTGGAATTATCCTTTTTTATAAATCCATATTTCAATAGGCAATAGAAGATGCAATATGATGTGGAAATACAATTTTGATACTAATATATTCCAGGAAATAAGTCGAGAGGAATATGAGCGAATAGGATCCATAACCCTCAAATGGGCTAGAGAAGGGAATTTATTTTTTCTCACCAATAACCTCCCAGCACGACCTTATCGAATTCATTACCAAGACGAAAACGGATGGACACCTTTACATCATGCAGCCTTTAATAACCAGGTAATTTGTATAACAATATAACATTTTCACAAATTAGGTAATCAAAGTATGTGGTGTTAAAGTTTTGTAATTTGATATTATGAAATATGAGAAGAAAGAGGTGTGTGTGTGTGTGTGTGTGTGTGTGTGTGTGTGTGTGTGTGTGTGTGTGTGTGGTGTGTGTGTTGTGTGTGTGTGTGTGTGTGTGTGTGTGTGTGTGTGTGTGTGTGTGTGTGTGTGTGTGTGTGTGTGTGTGTGTGTGTGTGTGTGTTGTGTGTGTGTGTGTGTGAGTGTGTGTGTGAGTAGTGAGTGAGTGGTGAGTGTGAGTGAGTGAGTGAGTGAGTGAGTGAGTGGTGGTTTGTTTGTTTGTTTGTGTGTATGTGTATTATGTTTATTTGTATATATGTGTATGTGTATTTGTATATGTATATGTACTTGTGTGTGTATGTGTATGTGTAAATGTATGTGTATTTATGTCGGTTATTTTTTCATATGTGATTTTTTATATGAATTTCTGAAGTGTTCATTTATAGTTTATCTGTAGTGTATCAATGGTATGTGAGTACTTTCATCTAGCTGAAATTGTATTTCCATTTGAAATTCTGGTCGAAGTGTTGTGTATTAACTATCTGTTATTGATTTTTTGATGACTAATATATACTTATAAGAATGACAATAATGCCACTTTTGGTCTATTTGTCCAATACAGGTTGAAGCAGTAAGAACTCTCTTGGAGATGGGTGCTCTTCGTTCAAGTTGTACTCATGCTCAGGAAACTGCAGCAGATATTGCTCAGTCCCAAGGGCATTCAGAATTGTACGATATTCTCCAAATTAGTACCTCAAGCTCTTTAAGTACAAAGGTGTGTAAAAAAGATTTTGTGAATATCTTATTTTTATTTTTATTTTTTTATGAATATTGTTTATGTGAAGGAAGTAAAGGTCCAGTGCAGTGCTTCATGGAGAATTAAATACCGTAATAAAATCTTATGGTAATTAATGTTTTTAATAATCATGTTAGCCTGTGTACTTAATTTAATTTTATTGTTCATGAACAGACTAGGGTTGAAAGGGTTCAAATGTATGGTCATCTGCTGAGGGAAATAAGCTGTGCAGAGCTTCACATTCATGGATCTACTAATGACAACATGGATATGCAACATCGACATAGTGTTGTAAAAAATGTATCTCGTCTTATTGATAATGGATCACCTCTGCAGCCTGTTGGAGGCCACACTGCTGTGGCACTTCATTTAGCTATCACTTCAAACTGTACAGATCTACTACCGCTGTTGTTGAGTTCAGGGGCTCCTCTGACTACCACTACAAGTGGCATGAGTGTGCTTCAGTTGGCTTGGCTGTGTCCAGATGTTACCACACACATTGCAGTAATGGTGACAAGGGTAATGAAAACAATATTTTTAACATGATTTTCTGTTTTCATAATTGTATATGAGAAGAGTGGCATTGATTAATGATTTTACTGTGGGATGTCTTTTTAATCATAGATACCTTATGTCAGATAGTAATCCATAAATTGAAAGAGGAAGCAAAACGCATTGGTTCTGAGGAGTTGGCAGATGAAGAACTCAAGCACGGTATAAGTACAATGCTGAAAACGATGGAAGGGAGTCAACCATGGCATGCTGAATGGCCATCCAATCTTCGTGAAACTAAGAAACTCACTGCCTTGCTTGTTCGTGCCTCCCGATGGGGAATACCACTGACAGCTTCTTTTATACAGGTAATACAAATAACTGAAAATGTTAACTTCATCTTTTTTAATTTGACAAAATGATAAATGTATTTGCATATATACAATCACTCACACACACTCATACTCAGACTTAGACCCTGTATACTTCAAAAAATTGTGTAATGCACATCAGTTCTTAACAGAATTTTCTTACGTTAGAATCTTGTCGATTGTAAGAAGTCTTAACGTAATTTTAGGACTGCCAGTTTTAAAAATACAATGTTCTTATCCTCTTGTATTATTTGGGTATATCAGTTGATTTTTTGCAGTAGTATTCCTTAGTAGAGCATTTTGTGCTTTAAAGAGTAGATTCCACAATTTCTTTAATCTTACAGCCATCAGACTCACATTCACACTCACACTCACACGCACTTGCACATCTACACATACACATACACATATACACATACACACGCATACACACGCATATACATGCATACACATGCACATGCATGCACACACATGCACATGCACACGCACGCACGCCCATGTACGCATGCACCCCCCACCCACCCCCGAACACACACACACACACACACACCCGCGCGCCCACGCACGCGCACGCACAACACGCGCACGCACACGTACACGCACACACACACACACACACCACACACACACACACACACACACACACACACACACACACACACACACACACACACACACACACACACACACACACACACACACACTAATAGTATCCAACTATATTGCAGAAAGCAGGTGGTTCTGTAACATCATTGGACGTTACTGGCTCTAGTGCACTTCATTCTGCTCTTGATAATGGTCATATAACCACTGCTAAAACTCTGATTCAGCACATGGGAGCTAATCTTTTTCTTCAAGATGCTCAAGGACGCCTTCCATTTCATTTGATGGCAGAAGAAGACAGGCAACATGTGTTGGAGGTATTTGTGGTTTGATTCTTTATTAGGGTATTTCTGGCTTACAAGCTCATGATAACACTTTTCTTATTGCACATTATCTGATGCAAAGCAAAAGAAATTTTTTTTGATACTGTAATGTATCATTCCTTGTGATGGGAAATTACTAATTTTTTTATGTCTTTCTAGGAATCCATGAGCCATGACTATCGTATCCTTGTGTCACTGAGAGAAAAGGCTCGAAGTGAAGAAGAAAAGCAGACAGCATCATGTATTCTTATCTTGCTGGCCATTTTGTATGTGCAGGTTGATCTAAAGTCTAGGGGAATAGTAAGAGATGACTCATGGAAAGAAGTCTTTGCTTATACAGTATCATTCATCAAAGGTGAAAATAGCAAACTCAAGTTTCATAGTGATGAAATTTCAGGTAATGAATGGCTGATTTGTTTGCTGGATGACCTGAAGACTAATTTCAGTAGTGAAAGTCAACATGAAAGTGAAGTAGATGAAATAGGGCAAAATAGAGAGGGCATAAGTACAATGACTGATAAAGACATACAAGAAGATTTTGAAGCAGAGGACGAGTATTTCTTTTCTGTAATTGATGTAATTAAACAAAGACTCATGGGCACTATGGATGATAAAGATAATTTTGAATTAGATGCTGATATGAAAAAGCTTTTGTTGAAAGCAGCTTATATCAGCTGTGAATCATGCTTACCCCTTCTTCTTCACTTATTGTTGACCATTGGTGGTATTCA